ATAACACTTGGACAATAATCCTATAGTCAGCTGTTACTGCACCTTAAGCATCTCATGGAAAGTATTGGTTTTAATTTATATCAACCTGGCTATAATTCTCTCAATTTATTGCCACAACATATTCAATCACCATCTCAGCAGAGACTCTCAACTGGTAAACTCCTAGTTATATGTATCTGATATACACATTCAACAGAAGTCAAAATAAAGTAAGTCAGTACCAACTTTCTGTTTTGTCTTGGGTTTTTTGCTTTTTGGGAGGGGCATAGGGAAGGGGTGGAGGAGATGAAAGAGCATCAGAGAGAAAAGAAAAGACTGGGTGGGAGAGAAAAGTGAGCACCAAACCATGGACCTGAAGTCTCATCACATTAGGACCTACATGTGCCATTATATGGAATAAAAGAATGGAATTTACTGCCAGGTAATGAAAAGCAAAACACCAAGTGTCAGTGCAGTAGCATATAACAATCAGGAGAAAGTATTTTATCAATTCAAATTCCCTGACAATATCCTTTAGCTATTTAACAAACAACATTTATAAGTAAAATATCTATATATAGGCATAGTATCTGTGTCATGTGAAAGCATTACACAAAAGGAAGCAAAGAATCTCTGGAGGTTTGGGATTTTTTTTATAAATTTCTCTAAAAATGTATAATACTGTACAATGAAAAAATTGAAGTACTATAAGCAATAAACATAAAGCTTACCATATAATGCCTTCAAGAGTTACTGTAAACGTGGTACAAATATTACATTTACAAATTAGTTATATTTTGAAACTAAAAAAATAGAAAATTCATCTATCGTAATGATTCTGTTTGTATATGTAAATGCATACCCAGATACAAAGACCATAAGCATATATTTAAGTACACCCTCTGTTATATAGTAAAGTTAGGCTTATAGACATAGATATGACATTATTGTATCTGCAAGGAGAAGAAAAGATAAGAATTTTACCAAGTGTTGGTATACCAGATTAACTGTACTGCTTCTTCGATTAGAGAACAAAAATTAAAATAAATCTACAAGGAAAACAAGGAATTAAATATCGGATAATTTTTCATAATTTTTTATTGTTCTAATCCACAAAATTCTGAATCTGATGTTTCTTGCATTCTCGGAAAAGCCAAAGTCAGCTAAATAAGAGATAATGTAACTAGGCATAACACAATAAAAGATATTACCTTCACAATGCATTATTGCTGCCAATTATAAGAATCACTTCAACTTAATTTCAAAAGCACAATCACCCTCAACTGTAACAGTCTCTTTTTTTAAATTTCAAACAGTATTACATTAAGGCAATAACTCACCTTCCAGCTATAATATCAGTCTCCCTTATTGCAAAAATACATTTCATAAATACTTCTCATCGACAAGTCAAGCTAATTCAGGTTAATTTTATTGTATTTTGGTGCTATTTCACATTTGTGTGCAATTACCTTTATCATTTTATTGCCATGCCAGAAAATAATCAGAGCAATTATTTGAAAGAGAAGGTGTATAAACTCTAAATCACACTTGCTGGCATTTTTGATAAAATAGCAGCTTTATCTCAGAAAGTGGCAGGGACATCGGATAAATCATGCATCAGTCAAGCATAGCTGACCCCCAAGTGCATTGCACAATATCAGAAGTGCTTCAAAAGAAACTTTCCTACATCATCCATCATTCTTCGTAATACTAAAATAGTTACACCTGAAGAGTAGGAGCTAGAGAGTAATAATAAAAAAAAACAAATCCAAGCAATATGGGCAAAGCCATTAACTACATTCCCATTTAAACTAAAAAAGAAAAAATAGTGAGGAATGTGTTAATAAACAAATATGACTTTATTGCAATAATCAACTGTAACTTGAATAACATAAGCATAAAATATAAATAAAAATACCTAATGTAACTGTGCAAAAGCAATTAAAGATTATAGATAAAGATACAGATAGACTCAAACTATATATGAGACAGACTATATGTAACAAAATGGCAGATAAATTACCTATTATGGGAACACATTAGATTCCTGCCCTAACAAGGGACAATACAGAAAGATTCATATTAACATTGCGGTTTTGAGCCTTCATTACAGTGCTATGAATACTGCTAGTATAAATACAGAACTCATTATGAGTAAGGCACAGAGTCCAAAAGAATCCATTTCATATTTTGATTGTAAAAATAGCAATTGCATGGCTAGTAACTACTATGTTTCTGAATCCTAGAAGCCGGGCTAAAGATAGAGAGGAGAAAAATACCTCCTTGTTTGCATACTGTTGCTTAAACCCAAGGTTCTTCAGAAAAACTCATTTTCTGACTACATATTTTTGATCCATACTCTCAAAAATAAAGGACACTCCAACTTCCTGAGAAATACTTCCTTTCAGTTCATAGCCTCATGCCAAGGGCTCCAAGGGCTTCTTTACACTTGTGCCCACACCTGCATTAGACACCAGCAGCCTTGTGCTCCCATGATGGACACTGGATAAGGCCTTGAAGTGTCAAGGCTTATATGTTAAGTTGCGATGCAAATGCAATGATTTTGGAAAGCACTCGTCTTTATATATGTCTGTTTCAGAAACCATATTCTCAGTTTCAGCAAACTAGAGGTTCATGTAAAACTGTTCAGCAGATCATGCATGGTCTTGTCTTTTTTTAAAGAGGTCATGAAAATGGTCATAAACAGGACATGAAATCACCTATTTCAGATTCATGTCTTCTGTCTCTCTAATACATGGTTTAATTATGCATTATAAATATGCTTGGCATAATTCAGTTAATTTTTATATTGTTTTATTGTTATCAATTTAAATTTTCCACAATTGCAGGAAATTATGGATAGAGATTAGACAATTACTTAAAAAAAGCAGATGTTCAGATTCAAAAAGTTAAAATTTTAAAACTATTAAAACACAATTTGTCAACATCACATCAAAATATACAAATAAAATATCCTTAAATGAAATTCTAAAACATTTTCAAGCAGCATTTTTCCTATCTAAATATGTATATCATCTATGTTTTTGTCAATATGTTAATGGTGAAATCAATGTTTGCTCATATTTAACCAGTAAAAATCTAATCCTTCCAAGCCTAATTATAAATCTTTCTGACTAATGAAACAGAATGTGTTACAATGTACAACTTTATTATGTCTGCTATTATGTCTTCGCACAGTATTAGTCAGAATCCCCTCCCCCCATCATAACAAATCAGGAGAGTTGGAATTTGTTTTAGTTTTAGCATTCTGCCTCAGATATCAAGAGAATCCCATCTAACAACTAATGAAAGTAAATGGGGAAATGAAAAGGTTAAATAGATCATAAATTATTATTAGTTTCATTTAGCTTGCCAGACTGTATATCATATCTAGCTGTGAATGAGATTGAACTAGCAATTCTTTTAAAAAGCCCCCCCCCCGCCAAGTTGTTTGAAAATGAATCTAATATTTCTCCGTGATTAACCCAAAAATACCTGCTACAAAATGTATTTTCAGGTGGCAATCATACACACACAAATATGCTAAAGAAATACATTAAAAACTAAAAGGTGGTTTAGAAAGAAAAATCAAACGAAATACAAGAAATGTTCCTGAGTCCTCCATATATCAAACTATTCTATTTTAAAAAAATTAAAAATAATAAGTTAATTAAAAGGGTCTAGAAAATACACTGATTTTACACTAAACAAAAAAAAAGATATTTCCACTGCAGGGTAAATAAAATAGAAATACACAAACTTACTAGTCCAAATATATTACATTAAACCATGTAAATCAGACTGAAGCAATCTGCCATTATTTTGACATTTTTTATAATGCTAGAGGTTGGCAGCAGTACTAAGATTACTTATATAAGTTTGATTTTACTAAATGTTACATCCCATGAGGTATGATATTAATCCTGCCACAAAAGTAATGAGTATATTGCAAAAATAGTATTTATTATTTGCAGTCACTCATTAAAGATGAAGCAAAATGCAGGACAATGTAGCACTTTAAAGACTAACAAGATGGTTTATTAGATGATGAGCTTTCGTGGGCCAGACCCACTTCCTCAGATCAAATAGTGGAAGAAAGTAGTCACAACCATATATACCAAAGGATACAATTTAAAAAAATGAACAAATATGAAAAGGACAAATCACATTGCAGAACAGAAGGAGGATGCGGGGGGGTGGGAAGGGGGAGGAAGGAAGGTAAGTGTCTGTGAATTGATGATATTAGAGGTAGGGAGAGTGGGATGTTTGTGAGTTAATGGTATTACAGGTGATAATTGGGGAAACTGTCTTGATAATGGGTGAGAAAGTTCAAAGACTTGTTAAGTCCCTGGTGGTAAGTGTCGAATTTTAACATGAATGACAGTTCAGAGGATTCCCTTTCAAGTGCAGATGTAAAAGGTCTTTGTAGCAGAATGATAGCCTTCTTGGTGATTTGAAGAACAAAGTTATTAGCAAAATTCGTACCGGCTATAAAAAGAAAGACTTTCCATGAAATAAATAGATGTTCACTAACTGATCTTAAAGTGGTAAAATTTTCACATAAAAAGGTCTTAAGTTTTCTGCTTTGTGACCATGTTTTCTTATGTTTTCCCATAAACACAGCTATCTTCCTAAACTTCTGACTTTTTCTCAACTCAAACACAATCCAATCAAAAGGTCACAAAATGATTCTGTAATAAAGATATTTATTCTGTAATAAAGGCTATACTAATTATGAAAAAGGAGAAAATAGCTAAATTTACGCTAACAGTATAGCACTGTCCTATTAGTTTATGCTCTGAGGAAGATAGATATGTGATGGGGAAAGGTCCACTGATGCCTGTTACCAACCATGACAGAGCTACAGAGATTTACAATGCAGCATCAATCTTGTCAACTGAATTCTTAACACTGGCTGCTGGACACTAGGGAAAAACACAAACTATGTTATGTGAACTCCTTTGTAATGCTGTTACTTTTTATGTGTACCTAAATGCAAGGATATTTTCACAGGAACTTACTTTTTGATGTAGTCTTGATGCCATGTTAAGTACACGAAGGAGCGTTGCCTATAAGAAAGGAAAAGGAAATCCTGTTAGAAAAAGATAAGGCTACAACAACTTTAAATTTCACAAACCGTTGACAAGAAAAGAATGTCAACGTTATCATTTCTCCCCCTATTACACGATATACTGTTAAGGTTATGATTATAAAAAGTGGGTTCTGAATGTCAGTGCTTTGCAGCATCAAAAGGGGCAGGGACTGCACTTTTTTTTGGGGGGGGGGAGGTCAAGCAAACAGGAATTTTAAAGTTCCCTAGATCATCTATCATCTGTAATGAGCTGTAATCAACAGATGACTCTGGAGGACTTCTCTCATCAAAATCCCTGTAAAACTTTGATCTACAGGATAAGAATTCACTTTAAGATATGCTCCAGTGCCTGTAAAATATATTACTTAAAATAATATTCTGTGTTTCTGAATTATTAAATAAATATCTTTTTTGTTTTAGGAAAAACATACTTTTTTCCTTCCTTAAAATATGTGTGAGATGTATGAAGGGTAGTCTGGATCAGAGTAAAAGGAAAGCACATTCCAAAATAAAGTATTTTAAAGTCATGACAGTTAAGCAAAGCAGTTTTATTGAAACCACTGTAATCCCATATCAACTAATCTGAATTTAAATGTAACCTGCAAGGAAGGAAAATATGGATGGTATTCTGATTTAAAAAGGCCTCATAGTTCTTCCACATTTTTATTTTGTAGTTTAAACCTTAGCTATGATGTACAGTTACACTGATGTCACTGCACATGTGCAAGCTCATAGTGTAGTCTCACTGCACTGCTGCTATAAGTCTACACCATAGACTCAGAATGCTCTGAGAACCTGCACAGATATAAGAAGTCTATACCCAAGGCCTGGCCCCAAATCAACTGATGTCAGTGGACTCTATGGTGATGTCAATGGGATATGTACCAGTCTCTAATGATATCACAAGCATAGTTTTGTCTGTGTTTCTGCACCTGTGCAAAAAGCCCAAAATAAAATCAATTTAGTCAAGATCTTGGAAATATTAGAAATGTCAAGTGTTATTTTTTCCTTTGTTTGCTGGCAGTCTCTCTCAGAAACTCATGTGTGCATCAGGAGCATACTGAGCCCTTAATTAGAGGGGAGGAGGTGTTGAATCCTTAACAAGATCACTTCTCCCAAGTGTTTGAGTTAAATGTGTGTTAAAATAAAGAGCTTTAAATAGCCTGAATAAAAATCACATCCACTCTTAATGAGGCTAATCTTACATGTGACACTCCAGCTACCACAGTTGTCCATAGAGCTAAATTTCTAAGGTTAAAAAAAGAGAGTGCGATAACAATTTTAAATAGTGATTAATGAATTTGCATGCCTCAGTTTTTGATTGCTCGGCTTGAGACACTTCAACTGATACTGATTTTACAAGTGTTTTCTGAAAATCAGGCCCCTGAAAAAGTATTTTGAATGTGCATACCCAAAAATGAAGGTACCTTAACTCACTTGCCACTTTTGAAAATCTCAGTCTTAAGTCTTAAACAAACCCATAATTCTGGGAGATCATCTTAACATACCATAAAAGGATGTGGTGGCGAAGGTGAAAAGGTGTAAAGCAGACAGCAGTAAGGCATCCAACCATGATCTTGCACTCTGACCTCTCCAGAGCACATGTTCTGACACTTGCCAACGTTTGTCACCAAAGACAAGTCTAGGAATCTCTACTCCTGTGATGGATCTTTGCAAGAACCATTGTGACTGGTCACTGATTGCCATCTCAGAATTTGATGGTCTCCAGGCAAAGAGGCAAGAAATGAAAGTCCACTTTATAGTGCAATGCATAGTATGTGAAAAATTGCATGTCTGGTAGGAGCACCATACAAGCCAATCTGATTGCTGAGCTTTAGGACATTCATGTGCAACCTTGTCATCTGGGAACCAGATTCTCTGAATTTGTAGGTGTGCAAAATGAGCCCCCAATCTCTCCCTGACAATTCTGAGCTTAGTGTCTTTCTTGGGGAGAAGTAAAAAGGACACCCTTTTGTGTATGTTTGTGGTTACAGCTACCACGGCAGATTTGAAATGATATACTGTGGGACTGAAACTTTCTTCTCTACCCAATGTCTTGCTAGAGAATAGACTGACTTTTGCCAGAGCTGAATGGGTCACAAATGAAATCTGGCAACTGCATCACTTATACAGATGCCAACATGTGGCCTAATACTATGAAGCATGTCTGTTCTGTTGCAGTTGATCCTGATATTAACTGTGATATGAATGCTTGGAATGACTAGAACCTGTCCTCTGGTAGGAATTTTTTTTTTCTGATCAGCAATGGCCAAGGGTGCCTATGAACTCTATTGTCTGCAATGAGGGAAAAATTTTCACAGTTCACTAGGCTTAGCCAGATGAAAAGAAACACATTCCAAGCTCACTGCCATCCTTGACTGCAATCTGTCTCTGATCCATGATCATCCAAGTAAGATGCAAACATCATGTCTTCTCAAGTGGATCATTATCCCCATTGACCCTAGTGTTTCCAGTGGCAGGTTATAGGGAAACACGTCTTACAAGTTGAGTACCACAAACCAGTCTTTAGTCAGAAGAGATGGAAAGATGGAGGCTTTATCATCCTGAACTTGAAGCAGCATATATATTTGTTCAGTCTACTCTTGTGTTGGATAAGATGAAGACCTTCTTTCTTCTCCAGAAAATAAAAAGTACCAGGACTAGAAGCCTCTTCTCTTGCATTCCCATGGAACCTCTTCTATGGCTCCTAGACAGATTGAGGCCACTATTCTGTAATTGGTTCTCATTAGGGATGTTAAATATCAGTTAATTGAATAGTCAAGTAACCTCATTAATTCTTATCAGTCGGCTATTCTATAGTCCCTGGGATCAGGGCCGGCAGCCAGTGCACTCCAGCCTCACTCCCGAGGAGCCCTCTGCGCTGCTGCCTCTGCCTCAGGGTGCTAGGCGGGAGCTGGTCTGTGAGGGGAGCCAACTGAAAAACCAGCTCCCCTCGCAGACCGGCTGCCTGTTGCCCTGTGCTGCTGCCTCTGATAAAGTGTGGGGAGGCAGCAGTCCGTCGGGGGGCAGGTCTGAGCTCTCAGACCTGGCGTGAGCCAGAACTAAGCTGGGCTGCTTGCCCACGTAGCTGCTAATACACTTTAAATGCAAAGCCGCAACAGGGGTAGACCATGGTGCTGGTCAGCCTGCTAAAAAATTTACTGGTGGGGGATGAGGAATGGGTGGGAGGGAAATGCATGCAGTCTGTAGCATTAACCTATAAGCTTTTGCTCGTCAGTTAATCAACTACACTATTACATCCCTAATTCTCTTGCGACATAAATGAATAGAATAACCATGGGCAACCGTATGTAACATCCATACCATCTACATGTTTTGTTAGTCTTTAAAGTGCTACCAGACTATTTCTTGTTTTTTAAGTTTTCCTTTTGCAGACTAACTCGGCTACCTCTCTGAAATTTAACATCCAATTGTTGAAGCTGATATCACCTGGTGTAATAGAGCAAGGTTGCTTTTAGTATTAGCTCCTGACCTGTTTTGAAGTCACTCCTCATACCTCCATTAAATTAAATGTCTGGATGACCTGCTGAGGTGAGTGACAAACAAGACTGATGATGGGCACCTCTTTGAGTACTGCATTATTTGTGCAATGACTACGCTGGCTGTTTGCCCACACAATACAAGTGAGCTCACAGATTCTGTAGGGTGGATGTTCGCCCAGGTGTGAGGGAACTCTCAATGATTGCTCAAGAAGGTGTAGTTTCAGCTGTGTACCCCTCAGCTTGTAATCAACAAGAAGGATGTACACATGGAACACTGGGAAATGTGGCCCAGACAGAAAGACCATGTCTCTACCCACTGACTAAGGGAACAAGTCCACTGCATGTCAAACAGCTTTCAAACCCTGATGCTTTAGAAACTCTCATTGAAGTAGGCTTGAGGCATCTCACCACCCTGAAGAGGCAACAGTACCAGAGTCTCAGGATTTTTTGCCCTTTGAAAAATACAAAAAAGAAGGCTGAAGGATTTCCTTCATGAAAATATTCTAAAACAGGGATAGGCAATGTGTGGCTCATGGGCTGGACATGGTTTGTCAGGGTTAGCCCCTGGCAGACCACCAGACACTTTATTTACTTGAGCGTCTGCAGGTATGGCTGCTTACAGCTCCTGTTGGCCACAGTTCACCATTCCCAGCCATTGGGAGCAGGAGGAACTATGTTAGTATGCTCTGAAAATTCAGACATTCATTATTTAGTTTTAAAAGATATACACGTTTTTGTCTTCTTGATTGGTGCTCCCAGGACATCACAGCTGAGGGATATGGTGTGTAAAATACCAAACTTTTGTGCCTAATCATTATGGGCAGAATCTTTGCTGGTATTTGAATGCCTAAAGCTGCAGACAGACACTTCATGGGTTTTAAAAAGTGCTTCCATTGAAGTATCTGCCTCTTTAGGCAACTGAAGTCCTTTAAAAATCTGAGCCTTCTTGCACAGAATAGGATTTACCCCTGTGTAGTCAGACAGTACAAAACCTATGCAACACTTAAATCCTACAAATAGGGCTTAAGTGTGATTAAGGGTGTGCACAGTCTTTGCACTAGCTGTGCTGCTGCTGCCCCTTTAAAACACCGCCTCTGTGCGCATTTCAAAGGGGCAACCCTGGAACTCAGGGTCAGCTGAGGACTCCCCAGCTGATCCCGGGCTCAGTGCAGCACATCCCCAGAACCCAACAGTCCCCAGCTGACCCTAGGCTCCACGGCAGCTGCTGCTTTGAAACGCCAGTGGCAGTGTTTTAAAGGGCAGCCGTGGAGCCCGAGGTCAGCTGGGAACTCCAGCTGCCCCTTGGAAATGCTGCCCCAGCGCTTCAAAGGGGCAGTGCTGCATGGAGCCCAGGGTCAGCTGGGGACGTTTCAAAGGGGAGGCGCATGTGATTACATTTTTAAATCTTTTGACAGCCCTAGTGTTAAACATTAACATTTCATTTAGATTAATGCGGAACAACTAAACTAGGACATGACTATTCTTGCTCTTAACCTCTCATTACAAGATACTCCTTTCAGTCCACAGAAATGCGTATATCTTAACATAGTGGGAGAGAATGGGAAATTCACACTCCTTCCCCTCCTTGCCCTCAAATGCAGCACTTGAAGCTGGGTTCCTATAAAGTGGAAACTTCACAGAGGTCGAGTGTTAAATCTCAAGTGATAGGAGAAGGTATTCTTTCTTTCAGAAATCCTGCTGACTAATCCAGAGGAAAGTCTTGTTTTGCATTCTAGTAAGATCCACTTGCTTCCCTATTTTCCCACTGGGAAATAAAATGTTTAAGAGACAGCAGCTGTTCATGGCTGAATGAAGGGCTACTTTAGTATGTCAGGTAAGCTAGACCAGTGTTTCTCAACATTTTTTATAAAGTACCCCTAGTACCTATAGTTTTCAGACACACAACATTTTTTTCTACCATTGCAATATATTTGTTTAAACAACTTAATCATAGCCGGGTGGGCAATGACATTTTTGGGTGTAAAAGTACAAAAATAATAAAATGCTGTAAAACAAAAATTCAGTTTTCTCCAAATTTCAGTTGTGTTGACGTATCTCCCAGACTTCTCTCAAGTTCCCCTAAGGGTACCTGTACCACTCGTTGAGAAATACTGAGCTAGACAACAAGCATTCATTGTGACTGGAGAAGCTTAGCGCTGAATGGACAGATCATGAACAGAAGTTTATGGAACAAAGCTATCCAGGAAATAGTTAAAATCATTCTTGTAGAAACGTCACACATTTTCATTAAAATCTGAATTATAGCACGTTCATTTACATTAATTAGATTTACCTGCAACATAGTACGCCCCTCTCAACAGGCCAGAAACCTACATCAAAATATGATTAGCAAGGAACAGCTCAAGTAGCAGCATAGACTGATGTCTAAACATCTCACATTCTAAGCATTATACATACTTAAATGGAGCTGTGATTCTTTTTATCCATGCCCCCTGACACTTCTCTTGAGATACTGTAAGAAACCAGAGCGGAGATGTGGATTTTACATTTTCTTCTGAAGGAGCTAAGGACTGTATTCATTCTAATTAAACTCTTTTGTCAGCAGGTCCCACAACTACTGGGAAAGCTCCTTCTCCCATATTCTGTAGACAAAACTTTGTATTTCAGAAAGCAGATATAGTAGTCAAGGGAACTGCAACTGTAGGCTTGATTCTGACCAATAGGGAAGACTCAGTAGCAAATCTTAAGGTGTGAGATAATTCGAGAGAAAACGGTCATATGATATGATAGATTTCATGATTCTAAGGAAAATAATAAGTGAAAGCAACAGAATAAGGACAGTGAACTTCAAAAAGAAAAGAAGACTTTTTTGAGAACTGGTAGAAAAGGTTCTACAGGAAGAAAACCAAAGGGAAAAGATCAGGAGAGAGGGAGGTTTCTCAGGGAGACAATATTAAAGGCACAAATGAACACTAACCTTATGCAAAGAAAAGATAGGAAGAATAGTAAGGGATAATATGACTATCAGGAGCTCTTTAATGACCTGAAAAATAAAAAAAATAAAAAAAAAAAGTGGAAACATGGACAAATTGCTATGGAGGAGTATAAAAGACCAGCACTAGTTTTTAGGAACAAAATCAGAAAGGCTAAGCCACAAAATAAATCACATCTAGTGAAAGGACATAAAAGGCAATCAAAAAAGGTTCTTCATATACATTAGTGGCAAGAAAGATGAAGGAAAGTGTAGTAATTCAT